GATTTGCTGCATAAAGTTTTTTGAGTCAAAGTATCAGTTCTTTCCTCAACTATTATTGAATATGGGCAATCACCTAACTCGATGATTAAGCTTTCAAGGCCGCAGTACGTTTTTAATCAACATAGTACATTTTGTTCGGTGGAGTTTCAATTTAGCCAGTGTATCTGATGCTGGGTCTAGTTGAGGTAAGTCTGACTAGATGGTCAACCGTTTTTAGTGAACAATGCTCTGCTATGAGAATGCAGCAAGTTTCAATTCAGCGATTAACCGAGTTATTAGCGCAGTATTTTTACAAACAATAGAAGAAATAGTAATCAGGAACAGAAAACAAAAACCCACACATTTTCAATGGTACAGATACGTAGACGACATTCTATTTATTATACATGAACAACACAACATAACAGATATACAATCCCGGTAATCCGGACCCGGCTTGATCCGACACACCTTGTAATCCGACATGGGAAACTAAACTAAACTTTAAAATAAAATAAACTTTCTAGACATAAACATTACAAAAAACAAAACTGAATTCATTTTTAACATTTACAGAAAACCTACAGACACAAACAACATAATTCACGCCACATAAAATCACCCACAATAACACAAAAACACATATTTCACATTTAGTTTCAACCGATTAATAAACACACCACTAAACAAAACAATTTACATCAATAAATAATCAAAATAGGGGTAGAAAACGAATACACACAAACACACATAAACAAAATATACAATAAAATCATAAAACAAAAACACAACAAATCCATAACAAAACACAACACAAACACAGCCATAAATAATACAAACACACCTACTAAATTCCACACATTCCATTACATACACAAAGATACATATAACATCACAAAAATATTCAAAAACTACAAAATCGCATATAAAACAAATCACAAACTAATCAACAGATTACAAACAAACACAACACAAAACACAACCATATACAAAAACAGTGGCATATATAAAATCACATGTAGCATCTGCAAGAAAATATACATAGCAAAAACGATACCAAGAACACTCAAATGCAATCAAGAATCCAAATACATACTCGTACCACCCACACTACGCAAAACACATTTTACAAAACAACCACAAACACAATACCATAGAAAACACACTAAATACTTAATACGAGTACTCGTTGAAAGAAAGGATAAACCTTAAGGGTTTCACAAAAACTTTTACCACTCTGCGACATGTTTCGCCACACTATGGCATCATCAGGCAGATATATTCAGATATATTCAGTGGTAAAAGTGTTTGTGAAACCCTTAAGGTTTATCCTTTCTTTCAACGATTATAATGGAGTTTCATCATGTAAGTGCCTCAACAATTCAATAATACGAGTACACTACACTTACACTACTACACTACACTACACTCGTACACTAAAATACTTAAAATACTAAATACATATAAATGTAAATACACAAAAAATCACGTATAACTTTTAATAAATAAATATTTTTCAACTATACAAAAATGGTCTACGTATTCAACACTGAAAGTAATAAAAAATACTTAAACATTAAAGAACACATTCTAATTAACAAACACAAAATCAAACACGAATTACTCAACGAACAACTGAACTCCATACACGACACAATATTCAAACCATTTAATAAACTCCACATACTCACAGCACCCAACGATAACATAAACACTTAGCACACAAAACACCCTCAGATTCTGAAGATGTCTTCAGGGCGAAACATGTTAAACTCAACAAAAATTTGTAAATCCAGAAAATCACGTTGTAATTGAAGCTAAACTGGAAATTCAATACAGAATAATGCGGTTTATGATAGACATTAGAGTAGCGGAATGGATGATAAAATAATGTGAATTGGTTGCAAAATATGCAAATTATATATGTAAATTATCGAAACAAATTTTGGGCGAGAATTCCCACGGTTTTATACGTGCAGTCTTTTTATTGAGCAGATGGAAGTGAGAGGTGCGGGACATGAGGTGATTGAAAAGATTTTGCACAGGTTTCTAGGTCTTCCGCAGTACTTATTTTAACATTCGCGCTGAAATTGGTTCTAAAGGCTTTCTGAAAGTGTACCCAATTTATCCTTGTTTGCTTTTTTACGGGGCGTTGATTTAGACCAGGATTTCTCAAAGTGGGGTACGCGAAATCCTAGTGGTTTGCCATTTGTCGGTAGTTGGTTCGCAACAAATTTAGCTATTGTATTTTTTACATTAATTTTTTTATTTCTTACTTATGAGGGGATTTTATTAGTTCGTTAAAGGGTTAGCCGTCATTTGAAAACTTTAACAAGGGCGTGGTATTAGTGAAATTCAAGGTGACAATTCACAAGCACACGAATGAATTAAAATTTTATTATGTTTTACGCCAAATAACTTGCGAAGGTAATAGTTATAAACATTTTAAGTTTTAAACATGATATACAACGCCATTGAAGGTTATATACCAGTAATGCATTTAAATTTTATTAACTCTGCTATAAAACCTAAAGAAGCAACTATCAACCCTAAAATTAAAAAATAAAACGCGCTTGAAATTAATTCCAAGTTTAAATAATCTATTGCTACGTTTGAATCGTACATTGAATAATAGCTAGTCATGTGTTGATTAATACGCCAATTGTCACACTCTGTCCGGTGCATGAATTCCGTCCAGAGATCGAAATCATTCTCGGAGAAAATGGCATCGTCCAGAATTTTTTTAAATGGTGAGTGTTTTTTCAAGGCTATTACCAAACCTGTTTGCTGGAAACACTCATCAAGTATCATCATACTGTCACGAGCATAATCATCTAAATCATCAATTCCTACAACAGTTCTACCAAATCTATAAACAGGAATAGCGTAGATTTTATTTTTTAGTGCTGACATTTTTTCTTCCATATTCATAAACTTTTTACTGTTTTCAACTAAAGGATATACTTTTTCAGAGGACAACCCCTTCAGTTCTTCTAATCCAATGTCACCGTCTACTGCAATCCGAATTCCTTTATTTATCATATCATCGAGTGTTTTAAGCGGTTCTTCATACCGCGGATACTTAAAAATGATGTAATACGAAGCGGAAAAATAAGCGGAGGTCAAAATGGCACTGATTAAACATGTAGTAACGACTATTTGTTTAATAGGTGTTCGTGGAATGACATTATTCCCACTAACAATTTGCAGTTGATAGATTCTTATCAACGCTAGTCCTTGATCGACTTTCTGTTGAATATCCAAATGATACAAAATGGATTGTATTATAATAACTACCATGTAACATAACCACACTTGGATTTGCATCGGGTGAAACACAAATGTCTCTTTTGGGAGTAGTTCTGGTTTGTGAACCAGAAATGTCAAACATGGATATGCGTAAGCATAAGTCATCTCAATATTATATTGGAATATTAATGTTTGTATCTGAGCACTCATGGTGCCATCCCATTCTGGGTCATAGGTTGGAAAAGTATCATTTATTGTAGGAAACTGTACATTTTGATAAATTCTCTTGAAATGTATTCCGGTTTTCTTTTGAAGGTATTTTATCAAATAGTATTCCATACCGCTGACATAATTTGTATCATGATCAATGTATACAAATGGTGGAAAAGCAAAATTGATCAAATTAAAGGTTTTATTTCGATTAAATTTCCATTTTGGGAGCTTTTCATTTGGATTTGTTCCCGGTCTTAAACTTTTTGCAAAAAAATCAATTTGAGTGATTATACTCCATTTGTCAGCTTGGTAGGCAACTTGTAAGACAATGATGTCAATGGCTTTAGTTTCTATAATAGAATAGTAGGTCTCATTTTCGTATTGAATGAAATTTGTGTTTGATTCTCTGTTATCACCCATATCTATTAAAATTATCAAACTGGCTTGCGGTGTAAACATTTGCTTCTGTAAAAATTCACCAAGATGTTTTTCCGCGGCCATTTTGTCGGTAACAATTACATAACCAGTTGTTATACCTATGAATGCATTCCCACATGTTAATGGTATATTAAAAGATTTTATCATAAATGATTCCAAATAATTTTTGTTTTCATTTTTTGGTAATTGTAGAATTTGAACCGTTTGTTGATTTGCTTGCTGCCAATAAACATTATTAACAACTTCTGCAATATTTTTATGTAGTGTCTCAATGGGTATTCGATTTACCGATACATTTTCTACAAAAATAAGTGACAACAACGCCTTTAGTAATAGTTTAGACATTTATTTACGAGTAGCTCGTACAGAACTTGGGGCACATCTGGCCAAGGCAGTCCAATTAGACAGTCTTTTTTACACAATGTAATAATATTTCATCCTTTTTTTATTGATTTATGTTAAATGTATTTATATATTGTGATTTTAGTTTGCATGTTAAATTAAGTACTTTCTGAGGTTACATCAATATCGCGTGTAGTCACTTATTTATTAATTGTAAATAGCAAACAAAACGTTTATTTAGAGCTGCGTTTATTGTAAATACAGGTTAATGCATAATTTTAGATTTTTTATTTGTATGGTTTGATATTTTACTTTCGACTTTTGATCAGAAATATATATGGAAAATAGTAGGAAATCATATATACTTTAATTTTTAAATTGTAAGTCGAACAAACCACTTTAAATATGCGCAGATAATTTCGTACATTTAGTAATTTAATACTCATACACCGTAATAGACGCATTTTATATAAAAATCTATTTAAAATTCAATTTTGTCAAGGGTTTGAAATAAATACTGCTCATGTAAATCGTTGAACGATACAATATCGTTTTGTTTTCAAATCAATGTAATCGCTTCGTAAATCTGAGAGTCCGAAAAGTGCAGTTGATCCCTTAAACTATGATGAGTCAATGCTGATGTACAAGTATACATTCACAGTTTGTATGATCATAAAGTACGTATACGTAGTATGCTGATAAGCATATCAGGCAAATGAATTTAATCTTATCTCTTCTAAATATTGTTAATCATGATATTACTTTCTAGTTAGGGTTATACGTCTAGTATGAGTCAAACATTTGAGTGTTATATTTAGTTAATTTAGTTAATTCTGGAAAAATGGAATATTTCTGGTATAGTTTCAATATTCTTCTTACTATAATAATTTCACTTATAGTAGAAACACATTGTACGATGAATCAAAGTCGAATATCAGAAAATCAAGCAAAGCGACACTTAGTTGAGATCAAATGTACATCGAATTGTATCTGTGATCACTTTCAAGGGTTGAGGAGAGCAACATGCAGCGCAAAAAAGATGGTGTATGTAAAAGATAATATTCCTAAAAAAACAGAAATATTAGATTTCTCATATAACTATTTAACAAAGATTCACAACAATGAATTTCACGTAAGTAATAATTTTATTGCCAAAGATGTCAAATAAATCAACATTCATTTGCAGGATAATGATCTAAACTCTTTAAAAGTTTTAAACATGTCCCATAATAAACTTGGTGAGATCGACATTTTTGCATTTGAGCCCATCAGAGAATTGGAAATCCTTGATTTATCTCACAACGCTCTGCAATACATACTACCAGAATGGTTTTGGGAACTCAGCGTTTTAAAAGAAGTACACTTGGATCATAATAATTTAGGAGCGCTTAAAAATGTTCCTTTGTTTAAGAGCGATACTCTACAAGTAATGATAAATGTATTAAAATATTTTCATATATAATAAAGTAATATTTTCTATTGTTTCAGGTATTGGATCTATCATATTGTCAACTACCACATATACTGGATTTAACCCTGTCGGAAATGCCTAACTTACATACATTAGACATATCGGAAAATTTCTTAATTAACATTGAAATCGCAACTATTTCACATTTGCAATATTTGGAAAAAATTCAACTTCATGGAAATTCAATTGAATGCAAGAATTTGCAAGATTTTCTTGCTTTTCTTGATGGCCATTCGGTTAGACATACATCAGATTGTGTTGAAGAAGATAATAGCGACATAGAGATGATTGAAAATAATGGAAATATACAAAAGCAATCAAATCAATTTGAAAAAATGATTGATTGGGCCAGTTATACAACAAAAAAGCCCGAATCATCTTGGATTTTTGAAGATATCATTACGAACCAGGGTGTTGAAGAAAAAGAATGTCCCCAGCCAGTTCCCGATACTTTCCTACAAAGAGTTATTGCAATTTCTCCAATCATTGTGCTCTCAATGTGTGTAGTGTCTGGATTTTTGGTGGGGTTAATACTTGGGTGTTTGTGCAGATTTAAGAAACCTGTAAGAAGACCAAGACATCGTAAACCTATCCACCGTATAAGCAGAAGTTTTAGTATAAGAGGTGGTCAAGTTCATGATCGAGAATTTTTAATTGAACAATAATTTGTTATAACAAAAATAAAGCAGACAAAATAACTATTAATACATACGAGTACAAAATGGCCAGTCGGCCTGTGTAGAAAGCCAAGAGCTTGTGGAATCGCTCTTCCAATCTTTTCGAACCATGGAAGCCTTTGGCTGCGTAAGAGATTCTATACCATAAATACCTGCGATGCGCCTTGCAGAATTAATCTGCCTCCTCAAAGAAATAAGTTTGGCTTGCTGTATAACCACTAGAGCATCCGTTTGCTCAACTATAGTGAGCGACGGGAGGGCTCCCCGGCTGGCCAATCATAGACACATAGACACACTTGGTATGGAATTAATAGCCCACTTAACATTTCGCGAACAGTGCAACGCTTCCGGCATGAAAACAGCAGCTGCATTCGCTTAATAGATCTTAGATGAAATTAGCGTCGACTTCACAAGCTTGCCAAGGTTTGACATCTTAGGAAACAACTTCAAAAAGTAGTCCAGTCTGAAGGTCTATGCTGCGTTGGGGGTTCCAAGGGCTTGTAAATTTATTTTCTAAACCGTACAACCTAAGCCGCAGTATTCACGATTTGTCCTTGCGTGAGTAATGCCCATACATAAGCCCGACCACGGAAAAGTCGCTTAGGGTATAGTTGTTTCCAACTTCCAATCGTTCCATAATTCACGACTTAGGAACTGGCCTGGTAAGGAGTGTTTCTCTCCTTCAGGAGCAATTAATCCAGCAGTAATATAAAAATATGTTTTTATATTGAATTATAAATTACCAACTATTCAATATTGTTTATTTAATAATCCAGACTGTTATTCGAAATTAACACATCATTACCACATAAATCTACAAATATGTTTGGTATACTCGTAGGTATACTGCATTTGGAAAATGTGGTTTCAACGTACACTTCCCATCTGTAAAAGGGCATTAAACGTACATATACCAGTCTATATTCACATATATTATATATATTGAAGAACTCTTTTAGTAATAAAGTATGTATTTTGATTTGATATTTATACTCTACTTATAGTAGATTATTAAATCATTGCTTAAATTTCAACTAGTTGTTACATAAATTTTTCCAATTAAAAATCATAAATCAGAAGTAGTCAAACTAATATAGTACAACCTACTTCACAGTATACTTCAACATTCGTTTTGGCCAAAACCTCATTTCCGCACCACACCACAAGTGCTGCGTCTTTTTACCCTAAGTGATAAGGGTTGTTTACGTATAGGGTTGTTCACCCTTAATTTTTTAAATTTTGGTCGAAATTTTTTTATTTTTTTTAATGTGGCATTAAAATATACATACAACCCTAAATTTTTGGTTTCTTATACTTATATATTTTACGTTGATAAGTGATGAAAGTGAAAGACGAAAGTATGCGCAAATGCGTTAAATCTTTTATGTATAAGGCACTTAAACAACATTCTGAAGACATAAATTTTGGAGACACGATGTATGTCATCGACAATGGATAGCTATGACACCGAGTCAATTGACATCGCGGTGAATCGTTTTCATCGTTTACATCCAATGCCATTGTCGTATTTGACCGATATCCGGAAGATGTAACAAATTGTAGTACCAAATATGCGGAACGATTTCAACGATCGTGAAAAACTGCTTCAGTAGACTTACTTTTTGACGAGATAATGATCCCAACTGTGCCACAATAAATTGATGGCTAATGATATAGGCAAAAGGCCTAAGTAAGAAACGCTTCATTGAAATCTTGAAGATTAAATTTGAAGCTTTATAGTGAAACAAACCCCGGAAGATGCGGATACCTTAATAATTAATACCGCAATATGCGTTTCATCCACATGTATATCTTCTTATTCTTTTGACGGCTCTATCTATGCGTTCAAACATATATTTGCTGAAACCAGGTAAAGGAAAAATTTCGCATCAAATATATTCAACAAAATGTATCATAGATAAAACAGCCACAGATCACATATTATTCTTGCACGCCTTCAGTGGCTGTGATTCAACATCAGCCCTCTTTAATAAAGGAAAAATTAAATATATTAATGTACTCCGAAAAAATCAATATTTAAATGAAGTACTCCAGATATTCAAAAACCCAACTGCTGATCCAGTTGAAGAACGCTTCCTTCTTGAATTATACAGTTACAATGATGTGAAAACTATGAAATCGAGAACCAAGAGGATTGCAATGAAAACGATAATGCTATCGCGGATAATGTGGAAGAAATTTCAACCTGTGACTATTGATCGGTCTTGAAGATGATAAACTCACAACGCCTGGTCCATCGAGAACAGCAAAGTGGAGGAGAACGCACCAAATTTTGGAATAGTCCATGTGGATTAGACCTCCTGACCAGGATAAAAAGAACGCGCCACTTACTCTACCTCATGGTGGTGTGGAAATGTGGCCAAAACGAATGTTGAAGTAGACTATGCGACAACCGTACGCTAAAACTATTAATTTTACAAGAAAAATGTTAGTACCTAAATTATAGGAAAATTTCTCTAGTTTAATTTATTATATAGATATTTTGATAGTGAAATGAGTCAGAAAGAAGATACAGTGGAATCCCGGTAATCCGACAGTCACTTTGCACGGCAGTGTCGGATGATCGAATTTGTCGGATTATAAAAAAGTTCCTAAAACCCCTTACAGTCTGGAATTTTTTACAAAAAAAAATACCTTGTAATCCGACAAATTACAAATCCTAAAGTACAAACATATGGCACCACGTCGGATTACAAGGTGTGCTGGATTCTTGCACCCTCCTTCAATAGTCGATGTCGCCATGGCGCGTTACCTCTGGGACATCCTCGACACTTGGCCACAATTGAAATTAATTAAATACTAGCTAGTTGGCTGACGAGTACACGAGTACACAGATCACCATCAGTTCTATTCTGAACTTCTTTCTAAACTTCCTTCCTGTATTAGAATTTCGGTGCCTGCCTTCTCGCATTTGCCAAATCTCTGTCGATTTTTATGTAGAATCGTTGTCAATACCGAGCACAACCTTCTTTTAGCGAAAATTATTATAAAACTTAAATTAACTTTTAAAAAAGCTTATAGAAAACCTAATATAACTGCTTTAATCAAAAAGACTTCAAAAGAAGAAGCAAATTCAACAGGGGACAATGACATCAATCACACTTGGATGATACCCAAAGAAAACATTATTCAAGCGACAGAGAAAGCAGTGGGAACAAAAAGAGTTGGTACTAAAATAAAACCGATTAAACCCCTCTGGTTCACTCTGGATGTTAAGAATACATGTCAAGAGAAAAAAATGGCTTATTTACAATATAGTACACAATGAAATAAAAGACCTGCTGAGGAGAACCAAACTTCTATGGTTTGCAGAAACAGGTGAGGAGATTGATCAGAAGTATATACAAAGAAGTTAATGAGTTAACTATCATTAATCCTATTAATTAAACTGAATGGCAAAGAAAATATTCCTCGGATAACTGTGAAAATAACAACATCGACATAAGTAGAGAGAACATAGTGGCAGCACTCAACAAGCTTAAGAACACGAAAAGCCCATAATTGGATGGAACTAACTAAAAATAAGGAGTATTTGTGTCCTATGTTCAGACTTGGTTTAGCCAAGGCCATCACAACCATTTCAGAGACATCAAGATAGTAGTTTAATTTTTCTTTGGCTGAATATACTTTAAAGTTGTAACAGTGCCAAAAGCTGACTCAATCAGTTTGTAGAACTTAATATCATATGAGTCTGTTTCGAAGGACTGCACTGTTTGAGAGAAAACGTTCTTTTAATTTCATCAACACAATGTCAATTGCGACGTCCTCCATCATATAAACTTCCTGGAACTCCAATAGTTGATGACCGGTGTGAGTTTTTGCATTTTATCCTTCAGGTCACTTGTGTTGTTTATAAGAAACAGAAGAACCTGGTAATTTGCAAGAATCTAGAATTTATTTAGGGACATAGACTTTCAAAATATTGGTGTATCTATGATTGCTCTTTTACTAAAATGAAACTCTGCATCAAACACAATATGAAATATTAAATTTAGCATTCTGTATAGTGATGTGCCAACTCGGAAAACTCGATAACATTCTTGGTACGTTCAGCCCCTAGTGCTGAACTGCCCGTGGTTTCCTTTATCTCCTTCGGCTTAACTGTCCGGTAAGGTTTTCGTTCGGACGCTCGTACTGAACCGCCCCCGGGTTGAGCCGATAACATTCTTGGTACGTTCAGCCCCTAGTGCTGAACTGCCCGTGGTCTCCTTTAACTCCTTCGGCTTAACTGTCCGGTAAGGTTTTCGTTCGGACGCTCGTACTGAACCGCCCCCGGGTTGAGCCGATAACATTCTTGGTACGTTCAGCCCCTAGTGCTGAACTGCCCCTGGTCTCCTTTATCTCTTTCGGCTTAACTGTCCGGTAAGGTTTTCGTTCAGACCCTCGTGCTGAACCGCCCCCGGGTTAAACCGATAATATTCTTAGTACGTTCAGTGATCAATGAGATAATTAACGAATACCGCCACTATTCCATATACAAAGCATATAACCAGTAATCTACAATGTTTATTTCGCCATTTATACGAAGGAGACGAGACCCGCCAACGCATTCACTTCAGCAGCCTCATTTACCTATACACCGGGACCAGATAACACAGATACCGCAATCTCTCCATTACATTTTTTGATACCTACACACTTGCACTGTAAATTAAATTCATAGCAACTTTCTAAATACATTTTATACAACTGTTGAGAAATAAGATTTGGTCAATCTGCAGTGGATCGCATTTTCTGTCAAGATATGGTAATTCAATATATTGTTTAACCATCATAGCTGCAGAAGTGTATGGAGTTAGGTGAGCACTACTCTCCATGAGTTTTTTATCGACAGCTCCCCAAAATGTCGTCTCTATCCGAAACAGCAACAATTGAAGTATTTGGGCTATTTGGGCTAGATGAAGGTAGAACTTGATCGGTGCTCATATTTGATAACTCATTGATTACCCACATTTGCGCATTATTAACATTACTTTCTAAAATAATCTTCTAGAAATAAGCGTTGGGTAAAGATCCCCACAAACATAACAACCATTCGGTTTTCGAACTCAAGTTAGAGAGAATTCAACTCGAGTGGATTCGAGTTACGCCCAACTCGAGTTGACTCGAGTTAGGTACTCGAGTTAACCATCACTAATTCTGTACGACTTTCCGACTGTATCCAAACTATCTTTGTGGATGCCAGGTGTCTCTTTGGTTCGAGGCTCGTTGATTTGTCACACACTATATCCTTACCAGTATGTAGCTTGCGATGCGTCATAAGTTGATTGGACTGACCAAAAGTCTATGAACAAACAAAAAATTACAGCTTTATATTCGAGTGCGACTCCAAACGTTTAAATGCGGGCAGCTAGCACATAAAGTTTTGCAAAGCATCAATCAAAGATTGGGAGGCTAAACCAGAAAATAAATTGTGAAATTTAAATTAACTTAAAAAAGGTGCAGAGCTACAAAGCAGTTAGAAACAACAACAGAAAGCATTGCAGTGAATGTTTAAATAGAAAAAGAAAATAATGGAACAGAGTGTCTACAAAGCTCATTGTAGATAGCTAAATTTCAGTGTATAAAGATATCTAAGCTGGTAAATACCAAGTTGTATGCATATTGTAACATATAGAGATAGAACAGTTAATATAATTTACCTTTGCACAGAATTCACATTTGAATTGCTTCTCACCAGTGTGTGTTTTCTCATGTTGTACTAGTGATGTTTTTGTAGCCAGTAATCTCTTGCAAAAGCTACATTTATATTGAAGCTGACCAGTATGAGATCTGATGTGTTTCAACAATTTTGAATGTGATGGCCATAGTTTGCCACAAATTGGGCACAATTTTGATTTGGCAGGAACACTGTCACAATCAACAGAATTATTTACAGATGGCTCATCCTTTATATTCTCTGTGCAGACATCACCAATTTTAGGAGGTTGTGTCTTGGTTTGAATAACATTGTATGACGCCTTACATTGTTGTACAAAACCAAAGAAATCCTTCAAACTGTTAAAACAATCTGTACAAACCAGTTGTAATATGCCTTCATCAATGGATGAATCTAAAATCTATTCATATTTAATAGTAATAATTATAGTAATATTTATTTCGGGACAACTTACTTTGTTGTAACAAAAAGCTATTAGTTCTTTACTATTTTGTAGATTGATGCCATCAACACAATTTTGCAAACACAATGGGCATTGCATAGTTATTACTAATTACAAGTACTCGCAAACTAGTAAATCTGAATTATATTCTGAACCTGCTTCCTACAAACAAACTAACTTTAAAAACGTTAGCTACAACTAAACAAGGTATACAGGTTAGGATTGCAGTCCGGAGGTGAGTCCTACAGTATGAGTTAATGTTATGAACAGTGGGTAAGAATGGCATCAACTTCTGGGCCAAATTATACTTTGCTAGAGCGCGCTACTTTACTAGAAGTACCTACTAGTTTAAATTATTTGGCAAAAGTGTTGCAAGGTTAATAATATCAAAAATTAGTAAATAAAACTAATAATATAATTAAATCATACTAAAATTATTTGATCAAAGTGTCAGGAATATTTTGAATAAATGGTGTGACTGCAGTGGTATTTCAAATAAAGTTAGTATGCATGTAAACAAAACATTACACAATATTAAGTTGAATACAGTTAAATAAATAGATTAGTGTTCAATTATTTATCGGAGGAGTACGGTAATTAACACTGTGACACGGCATTTTTATATATTAGAAGATTATAATTTGGCTATGATTCTGAATTTTCTTTTAAGTTTAATAAGTTAAATAAATTAATCTATTTTTGATTAAAAATGGAATTTACCAAGAGTGAAAGGGACAAGCCCATTCTTATTTACGCTGGGTTTGAATATCTTCAATTCAGAGTGAAAGAAAACATCATTGTGTGGAGGTACAGGCAAAGTCGATCAGCGAAATATGATGCACAAATGAAAACCTCGAATAATGCAATTATTGAAGAACCCACTACACATTGCTATGATTCCTGTCCGCAGCAAATTGAAGCCCAGAAAGCCCAAATTAGGATGAAAGAAGCGATGACTGATATTGGTGCAACGCCAAGAATGTCATTGGGGCGGTGATGGCAACCGTGCATAATAACGTTTTAGCTCATCTTCCCAAGCAATCGTTCCTGCAAAGAAATTGCGTAGGCATGGGCGAGCAGGACATCTGCCAAACCCAAGAACATCTGCTTTCGACATGCCAGCTAAGTATGCCCCAGAAATTCTTCACCATAGCGGCAGGGACGATCCAGAAAGGATTTTGGCTTTGGGAGATAGAGCATTGTTAATGCAATTGAATCAGGAGGAAATATATGGCGATGGTACTTTTAATAAAGTGCCAAAAATATTTTATCAATTGTATACGTGGCTCGCTAAAGTAAGTAATTCATATCCGCCATGCATATATTTCTTACTGCAGAAGAAGAATGCAAACACATCTAGGAAGATGTTTGACATTTTGCAGGAATTGCTTCCAAATTGCGCCCCTGTCAAAATTTTTGTAGATTTTGAACAAGCATGCAAGAATTGCGCTGCAGATGCATTTCCAAATGCAGAAATCAAAGGGTGTTACATTCATCTGACCCAGAGCCTCGTCCAAAAAATAGAAAATGTTGGCCTAAAACAGCAGTATGACACCGATATGGACATCCGAAATCAGCTTAAATCTTTTGCTGCTTTGGCGTTTGTGCCCATAAACGATATCGTCAAGTTCTTCTGTATTTCCGCGCAACCTACGTTGGTGCCCCTGATAGGAATCCGCAGTTTCCAATGAGAATATGGAATCTCCCATAACTATCAATTGCTGTGAAGGATTTCACAATGCCATGAATTCCCTTTTCCATTGTAGCCAATCGAGTGTTTGGCGATTGTTTGACGGCTTGCAACTAAATATTGGGTACCATAAATTAGCATTGGCTAACGCGGCCAAATAGAAGTGAAGAAAAAAAAACGAAAATCTGTACATTGCAGTACGAGTACATTTCGTGTTTTACTTTTATATGTTTCACGTACTATTTCCTCAACCGCCTAATTTTGTACAAATAAATAAAAACCTAGTTATTTAATAGATCATTTATTCGTTATTTAATAAGAGATAACCCGGTAAGTTTAAATTTGAGCCTTTATAAACATTCTTACTTTTCAATTACAATTCAAATATAACAATCATTTATTATTATGAATTAAAAGTAGGGTAGACTGGGTACGGTTGTGACAATTTGTGTTTGATTACCAATAGTTTTGTTAATTTACCAGTTAGATCGTAGAAAAGTAACTTTTATGATAATTTGTACATTTGTCTATACAAGAATACTAAAATGTTGGCCCTAAATACGACGTATAACTAATAAGATAAAAAGCAAAATGCTTATAAATAACCACCAATGTCTTCAATTTAAAAGAAACAAAAACAGAAGTAATCCATCTGTGGTTACCAAACAACAATACCCGCCGCGTCATCGGCCCTGAACGCCGTCCCATCCGCGAACCGTCCCGCCCCCGTCCTTTATCACGGTTCGACCGCCGCCACCAAATAGTTATTGCGGCGCGCCACCGGCGTCCGCAGTCGCCCATTTTAGCCCTGGTGCCGCATGTCCCGCAAATGTTGACCGTGCGCAATATTGTCCGTGAAATATTATAACTGTTTCCATAACGGAGGAGAAAAATCAAGACGAGAGTCCGAGAGTATTGGGTGCATCCCATCCACAGTGATAGATTATTAAATGGAAATTCCATACCATGCACCCAAAAGTACCTGGATTACCCGAATAAGTTTTACGCGCATTTTATCGGATGACTCATAACTAGCGCCAAACTGGAGCGAACTGTCGAGTTTGGCCGACTAAACAATCGGTCGGTGTGCGCGCTTGCGAAGAGCTCCATATTGATTTAGTTTGAACGCAGTTAGGTAGCCCATCAAACGTATTTATCGGCCGATACAAAATCGTTGTAGTATGCGGATTTGCATACATTTTCATACTGATTATAAGCCCGACCAAACTATCGGCCGATAAAGTTTGTGGTGTGCGGGGGCCCTTACAGTCCGGAATTTTTTTACAAAAAAGTGGCAAATGACCATGTCGTATTACAAGAGGTGTCGGATCAAGCCGGGTCCGGATTACCGGGATTCCACTGTAAAATGTTTTTGGCGGAGCGTAACGACTACGGTACTGTCCCGCGACTGTGTTTATATATTCAGTTTATTTATTTAATAAATAAATTCTGTTGATCAGTAAAAATGACACATTGACATAATTATATTAAAATTCAATTTTGTGAAAGTAGCTACGTGTAAAAATTTTGTAGTTTTGAAAATGAACGTTTTTGGTCGGGCAAAGAAATGTTTTGATTTAAATTATGTGCAGTATCAAAATCAGAGGCACAAATCTAAAATATCATGTGATCCGCCTGAGGTTCAGGTATGTTAAGCTGCAAAAGCTGAATAGTGTGACTTATATGACAATTCAATTAAATCCAATTAATTTATTTCCAGCAAAGACTAGATCTCCATCCTAAAGTGCCACAACACATTACACTAATACCAACAGTTACTACAAAGAAGAATGTTTTTGAATGGAAAAGGGGTTTCGATAAATTAGATAAAGTAAATAAGCAAATGACAATGTTTAAACAAGTTAATTTATTAAAAATTTTAGAAGGGACATAACTTGGCTTATGATTTTTCTGACATCAAGTCTTCAACGCTTTCTGAACGGGCCGCCATTAAAGAAGCTACTCGTTGTTTAAAGTGTGCTGATGCTCCATGTCAAAAATCGTGTCCAACTCAGGTCGACATTAAATCGTTTATTGGCAGTATTGCGAATAAGGTGAGAAATGTTTAAATAATAGATTAATATAATTGTAAGCGTATTTAGAATTATAATCTTCCATTATTGGATTTAGCTTTGAAGCGGGTGGGGTTACTATATTACTGATTATTTACTATAACGAAAAAATATTTAAAAGAATAGAAAAAACCAAGCCTAGAAATAAATAAGAACTAAATAACTCAATTCATTCCACAAAAACAATTGATAATGCCGCTTAGATTGAACCTGTTCCACAATCATCAACAGTAACTCCACCCGCTACAAAATTAAGTCAAAATTTTGAAAATAGTAAATTGAGTGATGACAAACATAATCTAAAAATTAATATAATTCAGAATTATTATGGTGCGGCAAAAACAATTTTTTCGGACAGTCCATTTGGCACATCTTGCGGTATGATTTGTCCAAGCTGCAGTTTGTGTGCGGGCAGTTGTAATCTGGACGCAACCGAAGAAGGTCCAATTAAAATACGTGGCCTAGAACACTTTGCCACTGAAGTGTTTAGCAAAATGGGCATCCAACAAACGATCGATCCTTGTATCCCAGTGCCAGATAAACCAGACAGGCAAATTTGCATTGTTGGAGGCGGACCTTCCTCATTAACTTGTGCCACATATCTGGCTCGATTGGGATACACTAACATCCATGTATACGAGAAGGAAGAATTCCTGGGAGGCTTATGCGCATCCGAGATTCCTCATTTTAGGCTATCAATGAGTGCAGTGAACTTTGAGATATCAATGGTGCGAGACCTCGGCGTGCAGGTCCATTGCAATTGCCCGCTTCACACTGAAGGCATCACCATTGAGAAATTGCTTTCGGAAGGTGCTTGTGCTATTTATTTAGCGATTGGACTTCCACAACCCCGTCTATTGCCAATGTTTAAAGGCCTCACGGCAAATATGGGCTTTTACACTTCGAAAAGTTTTATGCCACTCGCTACCAAGGCAAGCAAATGGGGTCTGTGTGGGAAAAAAGCAATGGCTAAAAATATACCACGGCTTCATGGCACTGTAGTTGTACTAGGTGGTGGTGACACTGCTTTCCATTGTGCCACGACCGCTTTGCGCTGCGGCGCAAAAAAAGTTTTCGTTGCATTTCGGGATCAAATGTGTAATTTACACGCTGTACCAGAAGAAGTTGCAATGGCCGTGGAAGAAAAATGTGAGCTTATTGGCTTTGCTAGTCCACATAAGGTGCATCTAGAAAATGGAAAAATGAGCTCCATAACGTTTGCTCGCAGTACACAACAAGATGATGGAAAATGGATCATTGACGATAAGCAATTAACTACTATTCCAGCCGATTTTGTAATTACTGCGTACGGTTCTTGGCTGGAAGATGAAAATAGTTTGTTGGTAGTGAAACTGATTATAAGAGTTTTTATTATTGTTATTTTAGTGATCAAAGCCTTAAATCCGCTTAAGCTTGACAAAGGGAACAGACCTGTGGTTGATCCAAACACATTACAAACATCTGTGGAGAATGTGTTTTCCGGCGGTGACGTAACTGGACTCTCCGGGACAGTGGTGGACGCAATCAATGATGGAAAAGCTGCTGCTTGGCATATTCATTGTTTACTTCAGGTACGTTGGGTATATAGCTAGTTGTTAATATATATATTTATTGATACAATGGTTAATTTGTTATTTAGGAATTGCCATTTGAAACTAAATGCAAATTGCCACGTTTTCACACGAACATCGATGAAGTCGATATTTCCGTTGAATTGTGTGGCTTGAAGTTTGAAAATCCGTTTGGTTTAGCGTCTTCTCCATCGTCGAACTCCGCGCCAATGATACGCCGTGCATTCGAACAAGGCTGGAGTTTTGCTGTGACAAAAACCTTTACATCAAATCCACATTCTGCTTGGAATCCTCAAATTGAGCGCACAGAAAGATCTGGTTATAACTTGGGACCGCATCAGAAGGCTTTCTTTAATGTGCAAGTTTCGTCCGATAAATCCGTAGATTATTGGTGTGAAGCTTTAGTAGAACTAAAAAAAGATTTCCCTGAAAAAGTATTTGCCAATTCTAAATGTGTATTACATTTGTTAATACTTTTGTTTATGCTCGGTTTCAGATTATTATTGCAAGCATTAGCTGCCCACACGCAGTCGAAGACTGGACAGAGCTTTCTAAGAAAGTCGAAGCGTCTTGTGCAGATGCTCTAGAATTAAACATGTCGTGGGTAGAATGTGAAACTGACTCGGGCAAGCCTTCAATTATTGGTGAAAATCCAGAATACGTCCAGGAAATAGTTTCATGGGTTCGAAAATCCGTGAAAATTCCAATATTTGTCAAATTAACTCCAAATGTTACTAACATTGAACAATTTGCAATTGCTGCTAAAAACGGTGGCGCGGATGGCGTAACTGTAATGAACACATTAATGGGAATGATAGATATGAAGCCAGAAGGTCAAACGAAAAATGCGCAGACTGAACTTCGTTGTTCGACGATTTTTGGTGGCTTGAGCGGTAGCTCTATGCGCCCTATAGCATTAGCAGCCGTAGCCTCAATATCTAAGGCAGTTCCTAATTTTCCAATTTTGGGCACTGGTGGTGTGGAATCTGCTCAGACTGCTTTGCAATTCATCCGAGCAGGTGCAACCCTGGTTCAAGTAAGTGGTGCTATTCATAACCAAGACTACACCATCATCGAAGACTTTTGCACTGGATTAAAAGCATTGCTTTATCTCAGCGTTCGCTTGCCGGATTGGCATGGTCAAAGCCCTCCACAATTTAAGCAACAGAAAGGCAAAAAAGTGCACACGCTGTGTAACAATGCCGGGGAATTCATTCCTCACTTTGGGCTTTATCAAAAGGAACGTGAGAAGCAAATGACGGAGTTACATGTTAATTCAGCTGGGGAATTATTGTCAGCAGATCACACCACTGTTCCAGATCCACCTCCTCTTACTAAGGACCTCCAGATTCCCAAAATAAACGATATAATTGGAAGCGGCTTGAAAGAAGTGCTGCCACACAGTGAAATTGAGAAGCGGGAACAATTAGTTGCCCTTGTTGATAACGTATAATTTAGGTATTCTTTCATACTTTTGTCATAATATGTTTTTTTTTTCTATTAGGACATTTGTATTAATTGTGGGAAATGCTACATGGCTTGCAATGACTCTGGATATCAAGCTATTGAGTTCGATAAGAAAACACACCTTCCAACTATTACAGATAATTGTGTTGGTTGTGGAATGTGTAGATCTGTGTGTCCAATCATTGATTGTATCAAGTGAGTTATCTGAACATTAATTAATGACATAATTCGACTGATGTTATAAACACAGATTATACACTACTAATGGTTATAATAATTTCAGGTTAGTTCCCAAAAAGTAAATTCAAAAGAAGTTGACTGGGTAAAAATGTGAAAATAATTTTAGGTGCAAAAACCATGAACTCTGTATATTTTTGTTTTTACGTTCATCAAATATTTATGCTACTGAATTAATCTGATGTTTTAAAGTTGGAGATGTTCTATACATATCAGCCGGCACGCTAGGTTTGAAATTGTCATAATTGTGTTGATGATTAATTAAGGCGCAACATTAGTAGTCAGTAAATAGAACAGGAAATTAATTAACTTAAGGAACACAAAAAGCCATATAACTTACCAACAGTGCGCGTACTCGTATGTTTGTCTTCATCAGTTTACTTGTCTCGTATAATTTATTTGCTTCATTCGCATTCAAAGCCCGCGTTTAAAGTTAATAAAGTTGTTACAAGTTTATTTTTTACAGCGCTCAGACATTGTCGTGCAAGACGCATGCTTCTTAAGGAACATAATTCTTGTTATGAGAATCGCTTTATAAATTTAAATTATTGTCCAGGGTCACCAGAATTTATTTATTTTCTGATGCACGGAATGTGGCCGATTGAATGGGTTAATACTTGCACCTACACACACATTCTCAGGTACGAGGTGCAATGGATACGTCAAAATATTCTTCACTGTACTTAGTCTAAGTGTAAATTTTTACGTATGTTTTACAAAATATTGTTCTAAATTGTAAATTAATAGTCCCAGATACATTTTGCGGCGCTAGTTATTACTAGTTTCAAATTTAAGAAACTTAATAATCATATATAATGTTTACATGACTATTTTAATAATTTTTCTAAGTTGTTAGACCCGCAACCACGTGTAATATATCCAATGATTATGATGCGTATGGGATAGATATATAAAAAACCATCTTTACTCTAGTCAATAAATAAAATTGCGTACTTTATAGCGTAGGGAAATGTTAGGGAACGTCGTTATAAAGAGTGTGTAGTATACACAGAGTATTGTTTGCGTCAACCGGGTGATTTTGTGCACTAAAGGGAAAATATTACGCTTATATGGTTGGCGAAAACATTTCAAAGGTGTACAAAACTTTGTTACATTTGGAAAGTTTTAAACAAAAATATATGTCGTAAACGAAACGAAATGGCACTACGTAAACTTTTCAACTACAAGAACATAATACACAAAAATTTCGATACTGAAATGATTACGTTTGAAACAAGTAATTCAGTACTTTTACGATTTCAAAGCAAAGGTACATAAAACTACAAAATAGAATATTATATACCAGGAATATTTAAAAATTTCCTCAATTACATTTTATTTTTTTATCATAGCTAGGCGAAAAATATGCAACGGTTGATTTAATGCAATTAGTCGATATGCCGTAGATTTAATTAAAATGTATGCATCGTACTCGTATTATGAAAAATATTTTGCCAACCTAGGTCCGCGGCCGTTGCAGGATAACTATGCCGTGATAAAAATACGACCAAGTTTATAGCAACATAAATAACACTGGGGCCACGAACCGAAGTCATTATTAAAATCGAATACCTACATATTCTGCATAGCGGCATAACTTGGCTGCTCACGCCCCGGTCAGCTAATCTAATGAATTCCGTGCTATAATTCGACACCCGCATTGTTTTTGCAAACTAATACGAGCTACACTGCAGGTTCATAAGTATTATAACCTCTTTATTAATTATTGTTCCCTAGATAGGCAAAAGGAAGAATTGCATACTTATCAAGTTCAAATATATTTTGTGCATTTTGATATATTTTATACTTAATTAAACATAATAATGCTACTGAAATTTAGGTTGTTTTTAAATAAATATTAATTTATCAACATTTGAAAATATTGTTAATTTGGAAGAATTCAGAAGTTTTGTACCGCAAAACAACTAAATTAACACGACTAAAAAACTACAGCGCTTAAAAGCAGGAATAGAATATTCGGTTAAAATTATTTTATCTGGTATAGCAATTACACCTTAGTAGAATTAATTAATTTTCTTTTCACCTTCTGACAGAGAAAGCAAATTTCCCGTGCTGTCCATAAATCGAGCAAAAACGGCGCACGCATTCTGAACGAAAATCGCACACAATGGCATTATTTGAAATGCACATACACTCAACCTCCATCCAACATAGTGGCGTTATAAAGAAATTACTTACAATGGCCAGCCCCTTCGAAAAGCGCGCGAGGCGAATGCGTGCGAGGTGGTTAGTCGCAGGAAACACAATTGTTACGACAGAATCGCGTGCGCGATATATAAAAGCACCTAAAATTAATAGCGCCGGCGGGCACGCGCTGCTTCTTATGAGGCATTATGTGTACTCCCTCGATAGCAGCAAGGGCGGCACAAAATGCAACCGAAACTGTCAAAGGTCATAGGTAAAATAACCACATGCATACAAGTCATGCAACGTGTTGTATTTTACTGCCTTTGCGTGCGATTTGCGGCACTTCAATTTCGAAAGAAGGCGCGGTGCCGCTGAGACGATTGTCAATCTTATATACGTGCCGACGAATTATTTCAGCGATATTTGGATTAATTGAAGAGATAAGGGATGGGCGACCAAATTAAGTCTTTGAGCGATGCGCATTGGTTACACCGTGTCGTGCTTGGGGAGAAAAGATTAAAATAGCATGGTTATAATTCAATCCAATTAATTATATTTCAGCCGTCTAATTTCCGGCGCCTGACTGGGTTTCTACTGATGGGTACAGTCACTTTGATTACAGCGTTTGATTATAGTAAACTGGTCTGTATTTACAGTACGTTCTATTTACATTTCCATACTTCCTTGAAAAGCAGTTTATTACATAGTTGTAAGCAAAGACAACGAATTTTATTAATAGTACTTAATTTACTGCTATTTGTAGGTATACTATACATTTTCTGGTTATCACTCTTACTTTATTTGACAGTCTCTTCTTCAGTTATTCTTTGCTGTAAAAAGAAACAAAGTTTATCAAATAAAATGTATAAAAATTAAGATATTGGTAACTTACATGCATATTTTATTTGCATATTTTACCATAAATATTTAAAGAATGTGTACGACACAGAAATGGTAGGTAATGCTGTGCGGTTTTTGATTTTCAGTTATTGCAAATATGTAATTGAAGGAAGCACTATCAGAATAATCAATAAGTTGCAATTAACGTGGTTTCCGTTGCTCCTCACTGAAAATTTACAACGCACATAAAATCACGTAAATTATATCTTTTTACTAGAAATACACCGGTCATGGTTTAGATATTCACGTAACAATCAAAATCAGACTAAAATTGCAAAACTTTTTTTAACAGATTCGTTTTCTCACCGGACTGGAATTGCTTAATAATAAACTTACCCAGCAGCAGGGCCTCTCGCATTCCATGCACGGGTAGATTCTGCACCACCGAGCTACGATCATCCCGCCAAAGTAAAGGCGACACCGACGCGATGCACTTGATTCGCATGGGGCCATCCAGAAAGTGCCGACTGCTGAGATTGAAGCGCATTCCCAAAACGGTCGTCACCAACCCGTGGCGGTGCTCTATAGCCGGATACTTGATCAACGTGTTCGAGTTTGATATCTGCGATAGTAAAAAATAAAATGACTAAACGTGTGCGAAGCGCAGCATGTCACATCAGATTTGTTCACAGAATTTGATCAAGATCGATTTATCTTTGCAATATAAATACGTACCGGTTGATCGTTTATGTACCAATGCAGCAGCGACGCCGGATAACTTTTTCCGGAAGTGCAATTCAGGTTGATCTCGTCGCCGATCTGATATTGCGACTCGACGCCCGTTATCTTCGGGTCGTTGCGCGGAAACGCTGCAGAAATGCGAATAGGTAAATATGGCAAATAGGTCGGAACAGTATGTGTCTGTGAGTCGGTCGGTTGAAAGCTGTGCCAGCGGAATGGAAATTTTTATTTATGTTTAACAGCGATTATGAAAAGAAAGTATAACTTTAATTCACTCAAAGTAACAACTCCAGTGAAAAATACTGTTGAAATTATAATAATTATAATCATAAATTCTTTAAAACGCATTTTAATGGTGCTAATGTGTATTGTCGAATTAAAGTACACATCAATTTTATAGCACTAAAATAAAGTTTGAAGTCAAATGTTGTTTGAAACCTGAAAATAGGTGACGTGAAGCAGAAGCAAATAAAAAGTATATTTAAGGACAAAAGAAAGTTTATCCGACAAGAACAGTTATCATGAACTAAAGGCATATTTATAAATGATCATGAATAATAAGTAAATACACTCACACACGACAGCCAAGCGGGCTTCGCTCTGTGCCGAAGCGAAGAACGGCGCCTCCGCCGAAACTTCGCAGCGATATAATCCACCTGTTTGAAGGCCGACAGATCTCAAGACCACTTTCTTGCTGTCGGATAAACTAATCTAGATTAATGTGTAAAACGTTGTCGGTTAGCATGATATCCGTCAAACAAATTGAATCTGAACTAGCACGCCTGTAAAAGATGGCTGCATAGCTCAATAATGCAATAATGCCTGGCAACGGACGCTTTTCTCCGTTCGTGAGTCCGGTATAAGAATGTTCCGCCGGTAGGGTCCAATGTATCGATTGCGAAATGAGGCGCAATGAACAATCGCTCCGTGCGAACAGTCTCATCCGTCTTCTTAGAACGAGCAACAATTTTCTGTCGGGCATTTATTGTGCGGTGTGAATTCTGACACGAATTATATACAATTCCATCGTTATAATGAATTTGTTCTACTACTAGTGGAGCAATAAAAAATTTTGAAATAACATGATTTTCCAAGCAAATTACTTTGCACTAACACAAATTACGAATTGGGTATAACATGACTTAGACAACCCTAAAAAAATAGATGTAAAAGGTTCTTCACACAAGCTTTTGCCTCCCCAGAAAAATGTTATATGGAAATTATTTTTATTAATAATTATTTCGTGGCTTACATCAACATGTACTCCCTCGACTTTATAACTGTTGGCCTGCGGGCGCTCCTTGAGGACAAATCTGTAAAATTCCTCATTTTCTTTGTACCACTTGACGGCGTAGAGCGTGTCGTTACCAAGATCGTAATCGCATTGTAGCTGAGCCAATTCGCCAGGCCTCCGGTACTGCGGCAAATTCACACGCACCCATTTCAGGCCGCTGGTCGGCGTTGACGCCATCGAAATCAAGCCGCCCACTGTGAAATTACGTTACAACATTAAATTGTGATTGTTGCTTCACATAAAATTAGTCCATGTTCATAGGTATGCAAATAATTTCTTGAAATTAACATTTTTATAGCCTATCGCTGAGTGAAAACTTAAATTTCAGTATTTTTTTGTGAAACTATGCGACAAAAAACGGACAAACACAATTTTGTCGCACCCTGGACACAATATTGTGTATTTCAATGTAAAATCTAAGCAATCGTCATTTACCATGCCCTTGAAAGTCATTGACCTACCCAAACAAAAAACTCTGTATATTAATTACTTACCTATAATAATTTTTGACAAAAACGACAGTTTAAAAAAATAACACGATATAATCTGCCACATCTTCTTAGTATTCGAATTAGTTTAAATGCTGCATTCCGAAATGTAGTACGCCATTAAACTAAAACAAAAACATTAAAAAATTAAATTACGTTTACGTTTTAAAATTGATGTCATGTCATTATGTATAATACGAACACTCCGTCATCCTTGCCATTTCATTAAATTACTCTCAGCATAACTTCCACAATCTGCTAACAAACATATTTCGCAATTTTTTTATGAACTTGTGGGACTGGAACGTTTTACAAATGTTATAAATTACATCGTGCACTCGGTCTCGAAAAAGTTTGCTTGTAAATGTATCGTGTTCGTGCAGACAGGAAATTTTCAGTTATATTCTCGGTGGCGGCGGCAGCGGCGACAGAAGTGACGATGCAGAAAAATCCATTAACTCAATGTTTAGTGCAAATATGTATACGCTTTAAATTCAATGCCGCCGCACTTCACAAAAGCACTCTTCGCTGCGCTTCATTCATTTTTCATTACGATCACCCCAGCGAATGAAAGCGCTTCAACGCTTTTACTACGAAAATGTGACGGGTTTCATTGACTATCAGCAAAATTATATGTTTTTCAATTCAGTTTAATTAATAGTCTTGAAACTATATTATAAATTTCAATTACGAAGTTAAATTAGGCGAAAGACGTTCAATTTTTGTTGAAGAAACCAACAATTAATTTTGAAAAGTTTGATTGCAACATCAAAATAATATTTTTTTCAAAATATTATAATACTTGTAATTGTTTCAAATAGTAATAGGTCATAAATCACTTACAGCCTTAATTTTATGAATCCAATTTGATGTGAAAGCTAATAATCAGTTACGAAATTATCAACTGTAAGTAGTGGTCACAATCACACGATTTTTAATTAAAATTTGCGCACATTGACATACGACACTGACACATTGCAGCTTTAAGAAACGCGTGAAATACATAGATGTATCCGCGCCTCGCGTTCTTCGTTCGAAGTTGACTAGCTTGTGAATGCTGGTGCACGCGGACGAAGGTAGCTCATGAGTGGCGTGCGATTGCGCCGCCTCGCGGTTCCTGTTGCGCTCGACAACAGCCTGCCAGTGCTGTTTCAAATTTGCTTATGCTATTCAAATTGAGTTAATAACCACTACTTCATGCCTACCTTTTTGATATGCATCACACATTTTTAAATGGCGTTTATTAATTCAGTTACTTCAATTAACATCAATCCTACATGTTAATTGACTGCACATGAATGAATTTAGTGTGAGTGTAGTTTTTTTGCAAAAATTATAAAAATGTGAATGAGTTGAACTGAATGACAACCAGATTTATCGAACTATATTCTGTAGAATGTGTGTAACATGAAGTCATGTGGTTGATAAAGAAGCGAAATCAAATGAACATCGTGCAATAACTGGTTATAATAGAACTGTTTCCAACTGAAGGTGAACGTCAGCACCGTCGGCCACAATGGGGGTGAAAGTGCTTTCCTACGAGGTGGAATTACCATTATGTTTTCGTGATTTTGCTTCGGCGTGTTTCAGCGTTGAGGCAACACACGAGACTTATCGTATTTTTTGCATCTAAAGCGATTCTATTCATTGTTAATGTCAGCGGCTGCATGATTAATTGTTTTCGTGCCAAAGAAATGAACTATTTTCGGCGATAGTATCGAGGAAAAAACAATGAAACAAGCAAAGAGCGTTCACGGGCAGAACTTACATAAATCGAACTTTTTTGTATTTTCTTTTTACATGAAGTCTCAATGTTATTGACTAATACTTAAATCTTGAATTCTAGTGTTGTGATTAGTCCATACTTCTTTTTAAGGCATACAATCAACCAATCGTTTTTTGCTTGTGCTTGCTTTTGGACATTACGCGCGCACAAATCTGGTTTATGTGCCACAAACTATGCAAATATATGCTGCTTCTATTTGCATTTTAAGCAAGCCAAATTGTTGCTTTTTCGCACAAGCCAAACGGAACGCGATGTATCTCGCTTATTATGCTGCGCTTATCGTCCGCGACGATGCCGATGTCACTGGCGGCAAAACGATCACAAAAGGTGTTTCTTTGCTACTGGCCATTGCAGATCTCCAGAGTTCTTTATCACACGATCGTTCCCCTAAATTTGTTATTTACAATATCAGCATCATTAATCGCAATGTTAATTCGACAGGTGTCAAGAATAAAGTGATAAAATTTTTTTTGGGATTTAATTGTACCATGAATTACAATTTAGTTTCTAAAGGTTTGCAGGTGTCAAAGTATTGGTTTAGGTAAAACCTTATGTCAGCTTAATACATTTGTGTACCCACGATCCTGGAAAACGGTGGGGTTTCTAAAAATTTTGATTTAAAAGTATATCTGTAACCTTCAATGAAGTTACGAATTATTATGCATTAAAATTTATTCAATTTAGATTTATTGAAAAAAAATCAATAACAGACAATAATTCTAGCCATGCTTCAAAAGTAAAATACGACCACAAAACTAAGTGTGAATTATTCTGCGCACGTAGCCATTCTGGCATTTGCGTGTGGCGGCGAGAGAGGTGACTGGAGACCAAATCGATTTTAATTTTAAAATCCCCTAACCCCCTAAATCAAATTAATGTTTTACGTTTGGCCATTCGGCGGGCAGTGGCTGTGTGTAGCCACGGTTCGGGGTGACGCATATGGTCGCGCGGTCTAATTAGTGACGTATTGCCACGGCCCCATAGTATACACATTCATTTGTTTAGATTAACACTCATGCGTCATGTTCATGCGTGCGTCAAATACCTCTGTTATTTTGAGTATGCATTAAGGTAATAATTTTCTAAAATTATTGTTTTGAAGGTATCCACATCATAATTAATTTAGGTAAAGGTGTCCATTGAAGCGACTGTGATGACAAATGCAAATACGAGTAATAATTATCTATATACAAATTTTTTATTTGGTCTACTTTGCGGATAATTCAATAAACCTAGTATCAATAAAGCAGACAAATTTATTATATTTATTACTTATGTCCGAGACCAGAGAGCTATGTCTTTAGCTCTTAAACAAAAGTGTTCAGATTTAAAAAAGTGATATTGTAAAGATACCTAGTACCGGCTTATTAAAGGTAAATGTATCCATTTATCACTGCATACTACTATTCTATTTTGTGTGGCGCTAGTTCGGTTCCTTTCATCTATAAACCATCACTTTTTCCACGATTTTGAGCCACGAAAAGTGGCACTTTAATCACGGATGGCTAAGGTGACAACAGTATATTAGTCACGGATTTCAGTAACGGAATGAAGGTATATAATAATACCCTGCGACATCAATCAAACCTATTCCCATCATGCGCACTGCTTGTGTCGGTACGTAAGTGATTTCGAGTGCGTGCACATTTATAACCTTACATTTCCTAGTAGTGTGTGAACCAAGTTTGAAATTTTAAAGAGCTTTCACCTGCGCATTAGCCTATGGTGCAGCACCAGACTATATCAAATGCCATGCGCCGCCAGTCAGACAAGTCAAAGCAAGGGCTGCTCTTGCTCGAATCGGTGCGGCACGACATTTATAATCTTGCATTTCTCAGTAGTGTGCGAGTGAATTTCGAAGATTTAAAATACAAAAGTTCGAATACAAAAACTTAAACCTGGAAATAGATTGGGGGTACAAAAAGTAGCGTAAATATCACGTAGCTGAACGTTGTTAAACACTCGATTTATTAATCGCTCGCTACGCTCGCTATCAATCAATCTCGTGAGTAAAGCCCTTGTTTAGCTACTTGATACTTAATATACTATTATCATCTACTTCATACGATAGCTTTTCGCAGATGGAAAAGTCATAGTGATATTCTATTTGGACGAAAATGTATTTAAAATAAATATATTGGACATGAAATAGATAGCTACACAGATGTAGCCTGATGATATGATATCTTATAGCTGTCGAATGTATTATTTTCATGACATCGTTCCATAAATGTGATATATGAATATGTATTGTGTGACATCTGAAAATATTTGCCCATCTATTATATAGTATGTATCGAATAATCGATTAAATACAATTTTTTTTAATCCCTTTTTTAAAATCTGCTTTTTTCACGGTGTCGGGGCTTGAAAAGTGACACATTAGATCTATTGGCTATGACCGTGACTAAGGTACTTTACACTTCTTTGATAGGTATGATGTGTACGAAGTTCGTGTTAAAATTCAAAAGTTTATATACAAAAAATGCAAAATGCGCCCCTGAGAGTAAAATGGGCCAAATTTTATATTATAGAAATGATTGAAAAATCGCGTGATAAGAGATGAATTAGCGGAAAAAAAAGTGAAGCAAGCTGAAAAGGTTGCATTTTAAATATTTCTAAAAGAGGAGCCCATTTTGCCCCACATTATCAACTTTTTATTTTTAGTAAACAGAGTAGATTATTGTCAAATATTTTTCAAAGGGATTAAAAAAATAAAACAATTGAAAAAAAATGTGTATTAAGACAATTTTGTCTTAAACCTCCCCTTCCCCTAAATTCGTTGCAAATATAATTCTGAAACAAAAAAATGTACGCACCTTACAATTTTATCCATAACGCATAAAATCTTTTAGAGATGTTGCCTACAACATTAAAAATGGAAACAATAGTCTTTATTTTTTTTTTCTAAGAATCTCCATTTTTTATGAATATTTAAATAGTGTTTCATTATTCGCTTGACTACAAGGTCTGTTTCAATCACCTAAAAGATGTTTAACATTCGAAGGAAGTATGTCTAAGTAAGTCTACTGTATAACTTCTAACCAGTAACCAATAGGAAGTGTAATGATTATTTGTTTTGGGTTCATTTTCTTTCCATAAAGGTAATCAATAATCTGTTTTGCAGTTTTCGTTTTTTTGACATAAAGCAAAGTTTTATTAGTCAATTTAATATTCCGATCGTTTTTAGGGAATTTGACCTGTTATCTCGATATTGGTGTATAGGAGCGTTTGATTCGACGTGGAACAAAAAAGAAAGAAAGAAGAATGAAAGCCGATTGAATGAAAAATCAAGACAATTTACTCTGCGATCGAATCGAAACTTTATAAATTCAAACTGCGTAATTGAAAATTTAATGTCCACGACGGCAATTGTTAGTAGACGTTGTTGAATACCAAATAACCGTCGCAACTGAAATATTAGTGTGACTTTTTCGTCTGCGAAAACTTTTTGTGTATACTATATCATATACCTACATAATGAAGAGTGTGTGATTATCAAAATTATTTATAAGAATATTAGGACCTTTTCAAGTGGCATTGCGTTAGTAAACAAGAAAAACATTGAATAATTTTGGTAAATTTCGTTTCGTTACTTTAGATATTTGAAATTCCCCAATTCGTTTCTCTTTGGTTATATTTTCTAATACAGGACATTGAATACATCAGAAAAATTCTTGCTTAATTGAAACTGGAGTTTTTAAATACTAAACCTCAACGTGAAAATACAGGGCAAGTTGAAAAAATAGCGTAAACATCGGGTGGGTGAACGCTGCTGAACACTTGATTTATTAAACAC